CTTTCGCCGCCGACGAGTGGGAAAGCTGGATTGGCGGTTGGTCCGATTGCCCTGACTGGGCCGCAACGGACTGGAACTACACGCAGCACCAGGACCCGGATGCGCCCGCAGTCCTCGCGTGGTCGTTCATGGCTGCTTCTGCGTCTGGACCGCCGTGCTCGGGCTTCCCAGCCGGTGGAAAAGGCAGCAGCCAACCAGCGTCGTCGTCAGCCTCCTTGTCTGGACCGCCGTGCTCGGGCTTCCCAGCCGGTGGAAAAGGCAACAGGCAACCAGCGTCGTCGTCCACGGCTGCCCCTTCGTCTGGACCGCTGTGCTGGAGTTCCCCGGCTGGTGGAAAAGACAGCAGCCAGGCAACGTCTTCTGGACCGCCGTGCTGGAGCTTCCCGGCCGGTGGAAAGGATGACGCTTGCGCCTCGTCCGTAGTGCCGCCTGCGGCTGCCCACAGCGACGGTCGTCCGCGCCGCGTCGTTCAGGTCAGCTGCTGTGGCAAAGTGATGTCGCAGTACAAGTGCATGTACCACACCGAGTGCGGCAACGCGTTCTTCGCGTGCGAGCCGTGCACCCCAGGTGGACATGAGCCTCTGCGAGCCGTGCTGGTGCTTGGGCCTTGCCCCAGAGAAGCGCGGAAGCGGCGGTTACGACGACGAAGACGAAGGCGACTCTGAGCACGACAGCGACGACAACGACGACGGTCGCGACACCACGCTGGAAGAAGGAAAAGGCGGAACAGCAGCAGCTTTGCCTGCGACCGTGTTAGAAGACAGCATGCACGCAGACATTGGTGACCACGAGGCCATCATAGACTCTGGTTGCTCCAAGGGCATGGTCAGCAAGAAACGCCTGGAAAACTTCAAAGCCTTGCTTCAACAGGAGTACCCCGAGCTCTACGTGAGCGAAAGGCCGTCGAACACGAAGTATCGGTTCGCTGGTGGCGACCCGAAGACGGCGGAAGCCGTTGCAACCGTACCTGTCCAACACCTGAATGCCACCACAGAGTTCGAAGTGCTGAACACTGGCCCCGAACAGACAAAGGCCACGCCTCTCTTGTTGGGAAAGCCGCAGCTAAAGAATCTGAAAGCAGTGATCGACTTCGAGAAGGACACCATGCACTCGAAAACCACAGGCACCACTGTCCAACTGAAAACTTCGAGTGCGGGGCATTACCTGTTCCCTCTCATGTTGCTCAACAGCGTTGCCGCGGTAGCAACAGAGGCACATGGCTGCGATTTTGCGCCTCTTAGTGGCGCAGCTTTCGAGACTGTGACCGTTCAAAAGCACCCGAGAGCCTTCGCGGTGTCTCTTCCGCCGCGCCTGGAGCAACTTCGCGCCGACCTTCAGACGGAAGCTGGTCTCAAACGGATGCACGACAAGCTCGCGCACCCGACCGTGGACCAGTTGATGCGACGTATCACTCCTGCCTTGCTTCCCGAGACAGCGCCGCAGGTCAGAAAGCTCGCCGAAAAAGTCACGAAGTGTTGTAAGATCTGCGACAAGTTCCGTAAACCACACGCGCACCCAAAGACTTCTGGCATGTCTGCGAGAAATGTAAACGACCTTGCGTGCATCGATTCCTTTGAAGTGTCAGTATGCGGAAGCAAGTACATCTTTCACCACATGGTCGATTCTTTCTCGAAGTGGTCGCTCGCGGAGTACACGTGCACCCGTGAACCTTCTGGAACACTTGCTACCCTCTCAAGGTGGCAATCGGTCCACGGATGTCTCCCGCGCAGCGTTCTTACGGACAACGGCGGCGAGTATCAGAACAAGGAGGTAGAAACGTTCTTGATGCATCACGGCACAAGGCATTTTTGGATTCCTCCTCATACTCCCGCCTCTGCGGGCTTAGTAGAGCGCCACAACGGCGTGCTCAAAATGGTTTTCTACAAGCTCGCCGAAAACTTCAAAACGGAATTGAGCAGTGGCACTCTGACGCCGACGGACGCCATGCTCCAGGCGTGCGCTGCCAAGAACAGCCTCGTTCGTAGGTGTGTTTTTTTCCGCTCAGTTCCTCGCTCTCGGAAACAACCATTTCTTCGACCAGATCGATGAGTGTGAGCCGCCACAGCTGCAGGCGTTCAGAACAGACGCCGCTGCCCACGCTCATGCCAGGTTGTCTCTCCGTCGTGCTGCTCAGGCTGTCGCTGTGCAGATCCAGACATGTTCCGAGCTTCGTGATCTCTTCAACTCCCGTCTTGCGGGCACCACTGGCCCTCTCGACTCGGGAACAGAAGTCGATTACATCGCAGATGACACCCCGAAGGCAAAAACAGCCGGAACAGCTTGGAAAGGACCTGCCGTAGTGCTCGGCATGGAAGGGAACCAGAAAGCGTGGCTCAGAACCTCCGATGGCAAAGCCATAGCTGTCCACAGGCACCGGGCACGACCAAAAGAAAACAGAGGGCTTTTGGAACTACGAGCGCAAGCGGGGCCACAACTACAACCACCAGGGCCACCACAACAACCACCTGCACCAAAGCAAGAAGACAGTGCGCCACCAACGGCGCGCGTGAAAGAAAAGCCGCAGGACGACGATTCTGCGCCAACGCCTCCACCACAAGCTCCACCTCCGTACCTCCCTCCTGCTGCCGGGGCTCGTCCGGCCCCTGCCGGTTTTCCAGGACCTGCGAGCTTGGGCTCCCCGGCCGCGGGAAATGGGATTCCAGCGTCTACGGGCGTGCTGCCGCCGCCTCCCTCCGCGCCGCCAATGTTTCCACAGCAGCCAGCGCCGCCCTTCGGCGCCGCTTCCGCGCCGCCCCCGGCACAAGCTGCTTGCGAACCTCTGCGCCGACACAGGGACAAGTCTGCACCAGGAGCAGGGGGAGCAGGCAAAGGCAAAGGAGGAGAAGGAGGGGGACCAGGAAAAGGAAGAGGCACAGGAGGAACGTCATCTCCATCAGCGGCCAGGCATACAGGAGCGAAGCGCGAAGCGTCCTCCGAAATCACTGACCACCAGCCAGCGCACAAGTCGCCGATGCTTCCCAATTCGGACGACGAGCTGTTAGCCTCGGCCCAAAATGATTTAGACGATTCGTTTTTCACAGTGCCTGAGCAGTGGTGTGGCTACGCTGCCGTCCACGAGGCGTGCCGTTCCTGCCCGGCAGACGCCGCTGTCGTAGGAGAGTCGGTCCTGGACGCTCTCGCGGTAGCAAAAACCATGACGCGTGCGAAAGAGATTCCTTCTCGAATCGCTGAGTCAGACCCTTCTTTCGAAGCACCACGTCTGCAGAAACTCAACGCCGTCTCCAAAAACTTCGACGAGGTACGCCTGCCGCCAGGGACTGCCGCCGTTCCTTCCAGGTTTGTGTACACCGCCAAGGAAGGAGAGGCTAAAGCACGTTTGGTGGTGCAGGGCTGTTTTGAACCAGGGGCTGAGAATCATGTCGTTGATTCCCCAACGCTCAACAGAAACTCTGTCAGATTCCTGTTGTGGTTAGCAGCCGTGCACGGATGGGCGCCAGAAGCTTGGGACGTCCGCAAAGCGTTCCTGCAGGCCGAGACCGACGCCGACCCACACTACGACAGTTCTCCCGTCTTCGTTGTGCCACCCAAGAGCGTATCGATCCGGCCTGGATTCGTATGGAGGTTGCACAGGGGGAAGACGTTGTACGGTCTCCGCAGGGCGCCGCGTGCGTGGTTCTTCCACATGCGCCGTCTTCTTCTGGAACGCGGCTTCCAGCAGTCCATTTGGGACCCCTGCGCGTTTCTTTACTTCGAAGACGGCCGTCTCACAGGTTTCGTCGGGCTCCACGTCGACGACACGTTGCTGGCAGGGGCAGGGAAGTTCTGGGATGTCATCGATTCGTTACCCCTCCAATGGGGCACCCAGCAGAAGGACGACTTTACGTTCTGCGGGTTGCACATCGCAGTAAAACTTCCATGGATTTCTTTAGATCAGAAGGAGTATTGTCGCTCCTTGACGCTGATCTCCGTGCCGCTCCACCGCTCCAGACACCCCGGCGCCCCCGTGACAGAGCAGGAACGCGCTGCACTGCGAGCTGCCCTCGGCGAGCAGATCTGGTGTACTGATCAGAGCTGTCCTCATGGCGCTTTTGCTTGCAGTTCCCTTGCTTCCAAAGTGCAGTCTGCAACAGTATCCACCCTCCTTGAAGCCAACAAGAACGCTAGAATACTTAGGGGGAGGATGTGGTTTTGTATTTTGGGCCTATGGATATTTCAAACATCTGCGTTTACACGCGCGGCGACTCGTCCAAAGGCAAACCAACGCAGCGAGGCATGACCACCTTCATGGGAGAAACGATCCCAGAGGGTGTTTGTCCCATCGTGCGTGCGCATCTTTACCGTTGGGCTTCTAAGAAGCCAACCAGGTCGATTAGCTCCACGATGGCCACTGAAAGTCTCGCTGCCGAAAGCGCCCTTGATGTGCAGCACGCGACGCGGAGGAGGGTTCAAGAGGCATTTAATCTAGAAGAGCCGCCTGCTGGACTCCTGCTGACAGATTCGTGGTCTCTTGTCACGAATACGTACTCGACCACACCACACATCACAGAAGAAGATTTGATACCGTCTTTGAGTCGCATCAGAGAGGCGTGCGTTGGTTGGCAGAGAACAGTAAACAGCAAAGTTATTCCTAGTGATTTGTCTTGGGCGCCTGATGCCAGTATGGTCGCGCATCCGCTCACCAAGCCAAACAGCAATCCATCGAAAATCCTCGATCCGATCAGGTCGTGTTCGATCGATTTGCGTTCGGCGGCAAGACCGACAAGCGCTGCTTCGTGCTACATGTCGCAGCCTGTTGTGGCTCAAAGCGGACCGCCGTGCTGTGGCCCCCCGGCCGGCGGAAAGCTTGAGTTCGCAATGGTTGCAACAACTGTCATTGGTGCTCGGCCCCGGCCTGCCGCAGCGCCAGGGACCGCGAGCAAGGCGTCTGCTCCGGCGCCGCCTCCGAGCCGGACGCCCCCAGCACCTCCGCCGCGCCGGCCGCCACCTACAGCGCCGACGCCGCCGGTGGAGGAGCAGCTGGCCGCTGCGCCTGCCCGCAGGCTCAATGCGATCGAGCGGCATTTTGTCACAGAGAGCCTCCGGAGTTCCCGCTCCGAAGTGCCGGCGCTTCGCCGCATGCAGGGCCACCAAGATCTCGATCGGCCAGAGCAGGCAGAGAGGGCGGTGAGCCTCTTGAGGCAGCAGGTGCACGCGCAGCAGAAGGACAACATGTTGACAGACATGCTCGACCAGGACAAGCAGCTTCGAGAAGCTGGCGCGCCTCCGCCGCGGCGTAAGCAGAAGCATCTTAATGTCTTGTACCGCCGAGACGTTGACCTCTGTGGACACTGGCTGTCTGCCCGCTTGCTCCGGGACCGCGAGAGATCCAAGAGACAGCGTGCCCGGATCAGGCTGGAGGAAGCAGCGAGGGCCAGGGAGAAGAGAACTCTGTCCCCAGAGCCCGCTTCCAGCCCGCCCGGGTCGCCTGCCGAGGCAGACCCCCATGCTTCAAGCCAGGCTCCGGCGAGACAGGCGAAACCAGGACCTCCGCAGGTCGATGCGTCTCCCTCCCCGAGCAGTGACAGCGACGCGGAGACCCTCAGCTGCGACGGCAACGACAAGGGAAGCGCCCCGAGCAGGCGCGAAGATAATCGCGCTGCCAAAGCGGCCTCCGACAACGAGGCGAAGGACTGGCACGGGCTCTTCTCGCAGACCACGGACTGCCCCAAGCTGAGGCTCTCCACACACCGGAACCTGAAGCGCAAGCCCCCGACCCAGGCCAGGCGCAGGAAGCGCTCTGACAAGCGGAAGGCAAAGAAACAGGCGAAGGCGGAAGCAAAGAAGGCCGCAAAGACAGCCACTTCCTGAACTGAACTGAGCTTTTCCTTTTCCTGGCTGCCTTTTCTTTTTTTGTACAGAAACAAAAGGGAGAATGGTGAGGTTGTCAACCGCATGCCCTTCACCATTTAGGTGTGTCACCTCTCGCTTCATCCTTCTCGCCTTGTTTCTCCTTGCCCCCCATCTTTCCTGATGCTCTTGCGCCCCGCTGCCGTTTAGGGCCCTTGAGCCAGGGCGCCCTCCCGGGAAAAGATGCGATCCTCGATCGACGAACCGATCCGAGATCGACACTTCTGACTGCCCCACGGACACGTCGAATGGGCTATTTCACGAAGCCCCCCCATCGACGCCTCGCGCGCTGATGCCCCAAAGACATGCATTCAGCGGCCCCCGCATCTCCTGGCGCGCCGGGCGAGTCCGTCGCATCCGCGGGTTCGACTCCGCCCGAAGAGGCCGCGTCTGCATCGGCCCCAGAGTCGTCGGGCGAGTCCCCCTTAGCGGCTGAGCCCCCAAGGGGCGGTCCGACTGCCAGGCACAGCGCAGGAGGCAAGCCTGCCCCCAGCATAGATGCGACGACGATGATGGGCGACCTGCGCCAGCTCCCTGGCCCGAGGGCGGTAACTCGCAAAGCCGCGGCCCCCTCTGGGCCGCGCGGGCCATAGGCCCACGCGCTGATGGGGGCAGCCGCGTCTTCGCCAGGGGCAGCCACACATTGGCGGACGATAACTGATCACCGTGCCGAGCCTCGAAATTTCACAAGGGCCCCCTGGCGCCGTCGAATGCCGATTGCGTCGGCGCGCCCCCCTTGCGAGCCCAGCGGAGATGCGCGCGCCAACCTTTGGACCTAAATTGGTCGATGAGAGAACTCGACAACTGACTCTGAAGCCGTCGATGAAAACCATGCGCGGAACGGCACGTGGCTGTCGCCCGCCAAAGAACACCAAAATTATGCACCGCACCAAGCGGGGCGCCACACGCGGCGGGGCCACTCAGAGAAATCCCCCTGACACCTCCGCCGCGGGACCACCAGGGCCCGCGGGGGTTTCTTTTGATACGAACGCAGGCGCAAGTCATTCCAAAATCCTCCTCAATAGTCTTGCGCAAATCGGCATCTACAAGGAATGCCCCTGGGATGCTGCCATGGTACAGTGCATGAATATACCCTGCGGAGACACAGGTGTTCGCGCTCCCGCGCACTACGCCTCCGATCCAAACATTGCCAGTATTACGGGTTGCGCGCTCGGCTAGGTGGCCGCAGCTGCGCACGCAGTCCAGCAGTTCGTCGCATTGCTGCTGCGCGCGTGGCATGTGGACATTTATTGATTGAAATACTTGGACGGCTCTGCCAAGGCCGAACCGTAACGCTCTGAAGAACACGGTTGTGAGTAGCTGGCAATCCGGTCTAGCATAGCCTACGGAATCGGCTTCAAGAAGAGCCATCTCGAACCTGTCGATGATTGAATCCGTTCGCTTTCCCGATTCGGGCCTGAAGTCGATAAGCGCCGCTCCTGACTTGAACTGGCGCTCATCCTCCAAATTCTCAAATGTGGCTTGTATGGTCACGAGCTGGTTGATAGAGTGTAGCGCGATTCGCATCGCTATAATGCGAGCTACACCACCGAGTCCACGTTGCAGGCACGCAGTTGTTGTTGTGGGGTCATGCGGGCGCTGGTGACATTGTGAGCGTTTATCTATTCTGGGTTTCGTCATTTGGTGCAAGGGGGGGAGGGGGGGGGTCCGGCTCTCGTCCCGTAGTCAATACCTCAGATTGAACCATCTTGAAATTTTCAACATAGCTTAAAATTGCCAAGGCTATGCATGATTGTGCGGGGCTGCGCCAAGGCTATGCGTGATTGTGCGGGGCTGTGCCAGGATTACTATGGATCACATATTCATGATTCCACAAGGCCGTCGGTGGCATAACAAGGGAGGGCCCAACCGGAGGCATGCTTTTTGGCGATCGGGTCCGGCGCCCCTGAGCCCTTTCGTTATGGTTCCAGAAGAATAGCAGGAAAAAGTTCGCTCAGTTGCACACATCAACGATTCGAGTTTCTACGGGGGGGGGGGGGCGCCGGCCCCCGTAGTTCGTCCGATCGACTGAAGCAGGTGCCAAAATCAGCCCATAACTTCTCTACGGGGGGGAGGGGGGGGGGGCGGGGGGTTCCGCCGAAAGCAAACAAAAAAATAAAAGAACGATCACATTAAGCCACACGTGAGTTTCTCGAGTGACTTCGATTAACGATACGTTTCCAGCGGGGTCCCAATAAGGGCCCCTGGTAATGAGTCATGCGATCGCCTCCGTCGATGTGACTACCGCGTTGCATGTAACCAGTAGCACAGCCAATGCTTAACCATATGAAACCTAAGGTGGTACATTTAAAATATTGCTTCTCTGCTGGATCATATCTAACGTTGGGCACTGCCATTGGTAACTCTCTGTCGCCGTGAAGCGGCGAATTGGCAGCGGAGGCATGCCCCCATGCTGATTTAGCGGTAGTGGTATTGCGCTTCGCAACGGGAAATTGTATGTCAGCTCGTTACCGAGCTCATTGTCAGTCGGAAGATCAGGGCGCAAAGCCGTAGCGTATACGTTTTTGGTTGTAGTCTGGCGGGCGTCACACGTAGGGGAAATAGCGTTACCACTAGTGGCGTCCCATCTTGCTAGCCAGTAGCCACGCTCTGACATCGCAGTGGCAGTGGCGGTATACTAAGCCGTGCCGTGAAAAAAAAATGCGATAGACAGAACTGGCACATCTTTGTGAGGTCAGCTCCGCTACCGAGTAAAAACAAGCAATGTAGGCATGGGATCGTAGGTGGAATGTAACATGTAGACGAGGGGTGCAGCGTCCAGAGCAAGATGCTGTCTTCAATTCGATATTGGGCCTCGGGTAGACCTCGAGGTCCAGGCGAATTGAGCGCCGGCCGCTTGAGCCTACCGGCGGCACGGACGGTCGCCACGCTCGCGTTATATACTACCCAACCCTCTGACCTGCAGTCAGGGTGACTTCCTCGTCCATCCTGATCATGACCTCAGAAATCTCCACCAGCCCTCTGGGCGTGAGTGGCTTCAGAAGATCATTATGATAACCCTCTTTTTCCCTTCACGGGGAGCGCGTTCTCCCTTCCCATACCATCTGCCCTGGGTCTGGATGGGGCGTTTCGCGAGGTGTTGGAGCGGTCGAGACGGTTCAAGATGACAACAGGAGAATCGCAGATAGCCCAAGATGGCCTCCAAAATCGCTGAAGCCCACGATGGTTCAAGATAGGCCCCAGCATGCCTACAAGAGCCTGCAAAATCGCTCCAGGACGGCTCCAAGTGGCCACCAAACTGCCCAAAGAGCCCTCCGAGAGGCCAAAATCCGTGAACCAATTACAGGAGCACTGTGTGCTTCGTTCTCGCCTTTCCTCTTCTGATCGGCTGCGGGGCCCCCAAGATGGCCCCAAGGATGGCCAAAGAGAGCTCCAAGAGGGGCCCAGGAGGACCCCAAGAGAGCTCCAAGAGCGCCCCTAGAGAGCTCCAAAAGGCGAGTTTGGGGGCCCCGATGGGCGGGCGGGGCGACGGCTCCCAAGATGGCCCCCAAGATGGCCTCCAAGCCCACCAAGCGGGCTCCAAGACCCATCCACCCTCCCCCATCCACCTCGCCCTTCACCTCGCCCTCAACCACCACCCCGAAAACCCCTCCAGGACCTCCTCCTCCCATGGCGACTGTTTCTAGATGGGCTGGTGGGGATGCCCATAGCGTCAAGAATTCTGCAAAGGCCTCTTCTGAAATCCCACGGACTTCCTGACGGTGTGCTCGAACATCCCAGAAGGGTTTCCTGTGAAAGCGTTGTTGTTCTCCTCAGGGCAGTGCGGTGCAGTGGGATCACCGTGGCATTTAAAGGGCGAGAGAGAGGTAATACAACAAAGGTAGATGATGAAATAAGGGTTGACCTCAAAGTTAGGTCGCTAGGGAGGTCTGGGCGGGGGCCCTGGAAGGTTTGGAGAAAGCGTATGGCACTTTGGGAGAAATAGCTAAAGCTCCCATCACAAAAACGAGCCCCTGCGAATACACTGAAGCCTAAAGAAATCAGGAAGAAAGCTGCACGGAAAGTTGATATGGGCAGCTAGAAGAAGTGTTCGTTGAGATTCGGCCTCCTCCACCCCCTCCCACTCCGCCCTCTGAGCGCGGAAGGGGTGAGTCGCATTACCCCCTTGGTTTGGGATACATGGTGACAGGCTGCCTGTCTAGACCCAGCGGATTCCGTCGTCGAGGGGGTCCCGCGCGCTTGCGGGCGACCCGCCCGATGCGAGGCGTATGGAGGCGGCTCCGACATGCGAATTCCAGCGGTGTCGAAGCCCTAGCGTGAGAAGGTCTTCCTACGCGCCAGCGATGGGATGACCTGGAGCCCGAAGAGGGCTGGAAGACATGTCCAGGAAGGAAGCCCCCGCGTGACGAGACGAGAATCCGATCGACTGAGGCCGGGAGGGGAGCCCTGCTCCGCGCAGGGACAGGCAGACAACCTGTGCATACTCGGAGAAGGATGCCCGTCGTCTGCGATGGGACATTCTGACAAATATAGAGCAGCCGCCTCCAGGAGGTGCGATGCTTCCCCAAACCTACGAGTCCTTATCACACGCGTCGACGCACGAAAAAGGCATAAAGGACTCTTTTCCCCCAGGTCTCCACGGGCACGTTGACCTCGCCGGTCGGCAGGACCACCTTCAGCTGCATGGCGACCACCGCAGTTCCGCGAGAGGGCGAATTGGCAAAAGGGGAGCGGGGCTCATGGTTCGTTGACCACTCTGAGGGCCAGGAGGGCCCAGGAGGGCCCAGGAGCATCCGGGCAGGCCCTCCCCGTGCACAGAGCACTGGAGAATCCTGAAGAACGACAGAGTGTGATTGTTTCGTGGGCTCGTCGGTCTGGCTGGTTCGTAGGCCGCCTGGCGTTCGGAGTGGCCAACCGACCACGCAGCAAAGCGGCGGAAGGGATGCCCACCCCTCGCTGCAGAAGGGAGAGGGGCGAGGAGAGAACGGGCCGCAGCGGGA